CTTGACACCTTCACATGAGTACTTTATCTTCTTTCCTTATAACGAAATCTTTCTCTTTACTCTTCAAAAAAAAAGGGCCATTGCTTGGTGCAATGGTAAAATCTTGGAAAGACATGCGTGAATTTGTGTCTATGAGTGTCCACTTTGTGCAAAAAGTGACAAAGGTTAGGTCAGTATCTAGTCCACAAACGAAGATAATACATAGAAAGTAATCGATAGAAAAGCATACTGCTCATATAATTAGAGTGAATAGTAAAGTGGAAATGCACCCGGTGTAGTGTGTAAGTGGCCTATACCAAGTGGGGTTGCATGGACTCATAGTTGTCAAGGCAATGCCTAGGTGACAAGACACTCACGGATGGTTGCCTAATTGCTTCATTTAATTGCCTACCTATTTTGTACCCCTTAAAGACTTCTAAATCTGAATCAATAAGCAAGGTAGAGCTTAAAATTCAGTCCAATCATCATCTTCTTCTCCTTCCACCCTTTTCTTTCTTATTTTTCTTCTGACAAATAAGTTCATTTTCTATGTTTTAATATGAAGCTTGTACTTTTTTATGAAGTCTATAGATAACTATTAATGAAAGATGGTCATTGGTTGCTATGGAACCTAGGGAATTCCCCTAGGGTTCAAGGTTTCTATGTAAAAAAAAAATCCATTGCCTAGGCAACAAGGCACTCCCCTATAGTTTAGCTTGCCTTGGTGCCTTGAAAACTATACATGGGCTCTCCTAAATGTATAGCATGTTAGTGTTGGATACACATGGGAATCCATAACTCCACAGATTCTTAAGGACACTTCTATGTGGCATTTCATTTTTTATCCCCTACCTTATTTGATACTAATGAATAGAAAATGAACCAAATGAATGCCATTTTTCATATCAAGTGTTACTTGATAACAAAATCAACATTTTAGACCTCTTTTTGAAGGTCTAATTAGCATTTAACAATATTCCTACCTTAAGCAAAGTGTTAAACAATCAAAGACCAACATGTCAATAAAATGGGCATGGCAGATATGAAAATATTGAGATGGATGGTTAGTAAATATATAAATGAAGTGATTAGAAATAGGGCCTAACCCAAAGCAGCACCCACCCGAACCCAACCTGACTAAATGAAGAGGGAGTATTGAACTCAATCCAACCCGCAACTTGATTAAGGCTAACCCAACCCTAACCAATAGGGTCAGGTCTGTGTAGGTTTACCACTTAACCCAACACACTGACATCCCTAATTACAAATGAGTGCATTACTAAATACATAGTGGTAGCCCAAATAGGTAACATAATGTCGGAATGTAGATAATATGATTTAGTCATGAGCATACAAGACTACCCAGTGCATCAATAAGAAAAAAGTGACTTATTGCATCTTGGTGGATCTAAAGAGACAGGAGGCCAAAAGGGATGATCACTAAAAAAGATATAATAACTCATAATTTAAAAAGAAACAGCACATGGCTCTTGATAAAGTGGAAATTGAAAATAGGAGCCATGTAGTTGATGCTGATCCCAAATAGTTTGGATAAAGCTTTGTTCAGTTGAATTGAGTAATGACATGGAAGACTAGGTAGGTGTGGATATGTTTGAGGTTTTTGAGGAATTACACTTCCAGTAAACTAACTCTTGAATTACTTCTCTGGTTTATTTATCAAATATTGAAAGTTAACTCTCGTTCGTAATTGTGAGTTCTTGAATCTAGAATATTCAACAATTTCTTGATTGCACTCTTGAATTACATTTCAGAAATTTTATATAGCATTTATGATTGAGTTTTGGTTATTCATTTTAATCCTTAAATGTTAAATTTTCTGATATTGACCTCTTCAATATAAGACTAAATGAACCCAAAGTTTTGAAAGTGTGAAGAAAAGCTAAAGCAAAACAGTTCCTAGAGATTGTGGTGCAAGGCAAGGTGCGTGTTGCCCATAGAATTGGGCAAGATGGGCAAAACAAAGGGGTGCATCTGGAACCTTATGTGAAACAAAAATTGTATAAAATGATTCTAAGGGCAACAATGTTGTATGGGATAGTATTGAGTAATCAAGAAATATGTTTAAAAAATTAGCATGACAGAAATACAAAAGTTGAGATGGATGAATGAGAAAACTAGAAATGACAGGGTCAAAAGTGAACTTACTTGGTGGAACCCGGGAGTACCTTCAATAAGTGATAAAATGAAGAAAGAAGATTAAGATGTTTGGTCACATGCAGAGAAGACCATCCATGGCACAAGTAAGAAGAAGTCATCTGTTACAAATTGAAGGGACTAGAAGGCTAAGGGCAGATCCAAAAGGACATGGGTTGAAGTAGTAAGAAACAATTCAATGGTTTATAATTTAACAATTGATATGACACTGAACAAAACGGAATGGCAGAGCAGGATTCATGTAGCTGACACCATATAGTTGCGGGGAGGGGGGGGGGAGGCTTAAGGTCAAAGTTTGGGACAATGTGAGGGAGAAAAGGATGGAAAGAACATAATCTAGGGGGAAGGAAATAAAGGAAAATTAAGAGGGAAAAAGTAGCAAGGAGGAAGGAGGAAGGGGATGGAAGTGAGGTTAGGATAAAAAAGGCCTGCAATTCAGGGGAGAAGGGTAAAGAAGAAGAGAGCGACATTATTGATGTTATCAATAATTTGCTAAGAATTGATATCCAAGTTGGCAAACTTGGAGTGGACCTAGGTCGGAAGAGACTGGTGGACAAGGACAGGGATGAAGAGGGGTTGGCATTGAGGAAAAAAGGGCAAACATTCAGGCAAGTTCCAAATTGTTCATGTTTCAATTTTTTTTTTCAAGACTAAAGGACATTTGATTGGCGCTGGTCCTACAAACAAGTTTAAGAAAGTTTATAGGAAACGATGGCCTAGGATCATAGGCTCAAAAAAGAAGCTTGATGAGAATGAGGGCACTAAGTCTCAAACATTAGAGGGGGAGGTGGAGGTGTCAGAAAAGGTGTATGGGGGATCAAGAAAGCAAGATGATTCTTTGACTATCAGAGTGGAGGAGAAAGGAAAGAGGTTGGAAATTGAAAATTTGGCAGAAAAGGATGTGATGATCGGAAAGAGTTTAGGCCTATTTATCTTAGGAGAAGAAGAGTTTTCCAGAAGGGTTTTCAAAGTTTTTGAAAGAAGTAAGAGAGCCTCAAGAAGCCTATCGTCGATGAAGGTGGAGAGGTGTGGTATGAAGATGGGGTTTGGGCAAGATGAAGCTTTCGAACCTGAAGATTAAATTATGTCCTGGTTGGGGGATTCTTTCTGTCTTTTTTTTTTTTGAGTTGTAACGTTCGATTTGCTCTAATGTTTGTGTGGTTAGGTGTTATCTTAACCAGTGTTTTAAAAGGTGTGGGAGGTGTATGCTGGAGGCATGCCTCCAGGTGAGGTGCTCCCAAAACGCCTTGAGACGTATGCCAGAGGCGCTGACACCTCTGAAGCATATGCCTCTTGTGTTTTTTTCATGAGGTGTATTTTTTTCATGAGGCGTGCTAGAGGCGTATGACTCATGCACCTCATGCGCATCTTATATAAAAAGACAGAAAAACAAGAAAAAAAAAGAAAGGAAAGGAAAGAGAAAGAAAGGGAAGGGAAAGAAAAAGAAAGAGAAAAGGAAAGAAAAGAAAATGAAAGGAAAGGGAAGAAAAAATAAGGGGAAAGAAAGTGGTTTCCCCTACCCCTTCGGCTGTGGGGCTTCGCCTCCCAACCCCCCCGCCCCCTTTTCGATGCAGCCCAACTAATGTTATGCATCTTTATTCCTCTTAATATAAAAGATTTTTATTAAAAATAAATAAACAAATGAGATCCCCCCACAAGACCCCTTTCAACTAATGTTAATGCATCTTTTATTCTTCTTATTAAAAAATGAGCATTTCGACGATGTCATCAGACTCCATTCTGTTCTCAATCTCAACCTGTGCCTTTGGCTTCGTTGGCCTCTGAAGCTGTTGTTGCTACGACAACTGCTGTTGATGCCTTCGCATTAGAGGTAGATTATAAAACCGGTCCCCTCCATGATTACGAGCGAAGGTAAAACCTCCCGAACCAGACATTATCATTGGGAACTACAGAATCAACAAATATTCAAAGGATTTAAGAAAGGCAGGCATAAAGCTGATTAGAGGTAGACCTGTTCATGGGCCGGGTGGCCTGGCCCGGCCCCCGGATGGGCTTGAATAGGTATATGGGCCTGCGGGCTTAACCTCGGGCCAAAAAGGCCGGCCCGCAATAAATTCGAGCCGGGCTCAGGATTTACCAAAATAGCCCGGCCCGAGCCTGGCCCGGCCTGGCCTATAAATAAACCTAAAAACCCTAGTCGAATACCCCTCTTTTTTTCACCTCTTTCCTTTTTCCCTTCTTTATATTCTTTTTTTAATGTAAATAAATTTTGAATTTATATTCTTTTTTTTAATGTAAATAATTTCTAATTTATATTGATTATTGAATAGGGAAAAATTCTAATTTTTTTTATTAGGTCGGACTTCGGGCTCGGGCTCGGGCTTGAGCTTGGGCCTAACATATTTTCATTAATGAAGAATAAAAGCCCAGCCCGAACCCGGCCCGGCCCATGAACAGGTCTAATCAGAGGTAACAACTCCGATTGAATAACTTTCAAGATCAAAGACTACACAGTTTCCTCTAGAATTTAGGTCCCTAGGGTTTGGAAACACTCAAGATTTGATAATGGCGGAAAAAGCGAAGAAGAGAGATGGCAGTATTGTCTTTCTGTTCTCTCTTTTATTACTTCTTCGAAATGCCGGTGAGATTATAAGAGAAGAAAGGAAGAGCCAAGAGAAAGAGATTAGTGAGTGAGACTTTTGTAATTCGTAAGATCAAAGTTGTGTGCAAGGGCTACAAGTGCAGTCAATTAGTACCAATGAAATTATAGAAATATCCTTTAAGGCTTCACAAATGATGTAATTTGCTTCATGAGAATATACCATGTTAGCGGTATTTATCCTTCCTGACTTCCTCCTTCATGGTATTAAAACCCCAAAATTTCAGTATTTGAAATTGTTACTGACTTCCAGCTTGAGGAGGCCCTCTCAGTATCTGCTTAGCTCTAATCAAAATCACTACGAGAAGGCTACCTGAATCACACTATTCCTTCCCCATTCTCTTTTATTCATATACCTTTTTTCCCTTGCTTTTCGATGATGCCATTGAAAGAACCAGAAGACGTCCTTGTTTCTGCGGACTCCTTATTCTAGTTCGTATCATTGCACTTGTTAGAACATCACTTCTGGGTGAAAGAATCAATTTGTAAACCCCCAAGAAGTCCTAGAGTCGTTCTAAGGAGGTAAGCTATAGGGTTCGATATCTCTGTTTTTCTCCTGTTCCGCTCTATTCTATGGATTTGCTATGGACATGCATCCAGTAGGGATTGGACCAAAAAGAGGTGGGGTGGGGACCCAGTAACACAATTATTGGGTCCCAATCTGAAAATTTGGTTCAGGGGACGTCATTGGACTGCTAGCATTTGGTATGGATTTGATTCAATACAATTTTGTTTTAAGTTTACCTAACAGATGTTTGTTGATTTGTCTATTGTAAATGGTTCTGTTTCAGGCACGTTCATGCCTCTTTGATATCATTTATTTATTTTCTTTCCAGTCTAGGGCGCTAAATGGGGCCACTATCGAAGAAAGATATTCAAAAGGAAACCTTTGGGGCTCACCACCTTAGGTTCATGGTGAGTGGTGACTCCATCCTTGAGTGAGGTTTCAAGCCAATTTTTTGGAGGCATCATAGTTACAGTTGCTTCTTTTGCTTGCCTTGTTTGTCAAGCTGTCTTTCCACAACTCTTCATATGGAAAACTTCCCTGCTCTCATCTCTTTTCTTTATACAGATGAGTAAAATCCATGACAATTGGGGTATGAACCTGTACAGTTTGTTCATGCCATAGCACCAGTCTTCACGTTCTATGTCCAATTCAAGCTCACTAAATGGGAAATGGAATTTTTTTTTTGAAAATAAAATAAAAAGAATATACAAGAAAGGTGATGAGAGTAAGCAACAAACACTGGAAAACCCATTGAAAAAACCCCAAACCCCAACAAAAGCCAACCCAAACTACAGTGCAGACCCTTTACAAACCAGAAAAAGGAAAACATCGAAAACCAAGATAGCAACCCTAGGATGAAAGCCCAACCCGAACAACCACATCCGACACACACGGAAGATCCAACCCTAACTCCACCCCCACAAAAGCCTCTTTTGTTCACACAAAAACCTTTGAAACTGGAATCTGCTGTTGGCCTTTTCTGTTCTTTTGAGTTCTGAATCTTCCACCTGTGTTAACAGTTCCCACAGCTTCTTCCATGCTCCTTGTTGTCCTTAACCCACCACTTCTTCATCACAAACTACTTCCTGTTTCTTGGCTATTTCTCCAAACTCAGTGTTTTAAAAGCGCAAGGATCATTTTGTGCCTGAAGTGCAAGGCGCAAGGCGAGGTGCGTGCTTTTTTAAGGCAAGATGCACAATTAAAAAAAAAAAATATAAATTTAAAAAAAATGCAAAAAGTTCAAAACAAATAAATAATTATAAAGCATAGTATTAATAAAAATATAAACTTAAGTTTTAAAATAAATATTTTAAAAAATCTATTATCTAAAATTAAAATACATAAATATAATATATAAGTCATATTTAAATGAAAATTTAAAAATAAAATGAAACATATAAAATATTATCAAGCATACAAAATCCATAAATCTTTTTTTTTTTTTTTTCAATTGCATCAAATAGCTAATATTAAGACGATGCCTAACCAGGCACCTAGGCGACAGCACCTCGCCCAAACGTCATATGTTTTGCGCACGCCTAGAGACTTAAGCGGACACCTAGGCGCCTCCATGCATCTAAATTTTTTTTTTAAAACAAACCTGTTTTTCATTGTATCATTTTAGTATTAAGAGTACTATATATCATTTTAGTATCTCTATTTTTTTTTTAATAAACCCTTGATTCACAAGGGTTTCGAGGGAGGAGAACCAACAGGCGAACACTGCAGGCTCGAGCGGCCCAGCTCCATCGCACCTTAGTTCGACCAGGTATGATAATCTTCTTCTCCAGATTTCAAAGTTTCAGACTTTTTTTTCGAAAAAACAGAGGTTCCGCCCGTCCTCCCTTTCTTCTTCTTCTTCTTCTCAGATTTCAGTCGAAAAAAGAGGGGCTCGCCGTCCTCCTTTTCTTTTTCTAATCCGCCCCTGTACTCCTCAGTCCTCCCTTTCTCCACTTCTTCTTCTTCTTCTTCTTCTCCTTCTTCCACTCCACGAGTCCAACTGTTCTCATTCAGTCACTCTCACTCTCTCAGTCGTCAGTCCGCCCCATGAGTCCTTTTTTTTTTGTTTTTTTTTGAAAAAACAGGGGCTACGCCCTACTCAATCAGTATTTCAGTTATGGTTCACACTTGAATCATCTTAGTTTTTAACAGCTGAAGCTGCCGAACCTACTCTTCTTCTCTTCTTCAATTCTTCTCTAATCTCTTCTTTAATTCTTCTTCTTCTCATTCAATTTTTTTTTTATATCATTAATATATATGATTATATGGCTGATTTTTTTTTATATGGATGAACTACATGGCTGAAACTTGATTCAGTGATTGTATGCCTGAATTGGATTCTCTTCTTCAAATGTTTTTTTATGGCTGAATTACATGTTTGAAACTTGATTCATTGATTAATTGATTATATATATATATATTATATATCATATATATCTAGTTGGTTTAGACTCCTTTTTATTGATAATATTTTATATTTTTAGTTTTTTATATGAAATTTATACTCATTTGAATGATTTATAGTGTTAATAGTTAGTGTACATGATTGTTAGTTAGCACACAAAACCAATAAAATGACTTAGAAAAGCATATATAAAGTAAAAACTCAATAAAACAAACATTTTAAAATTCCAACGCCTAAGCGCCTTGAAAACTATGGACATATTACATTCCTAATTCTAAGAGTCGCTTTTGTACCACGCCCCTCGAGACAAGCCCAAACAAGTCCATGTTAGGGTCTTAAATTCTTAGTTTCCACACAAAAAATAATAGTTTTATAGTTTTAATTGCTTTTAGGAAGATGCTTTATTAGGATGAATGAATGGACAATATTACCAAATAGGGGATTCTCGAAGCTTCGGTGAGCGAGCGAATGGTGGTCCGGGGGCGGAGCCCCCTACCCAGTTGGTAGACTCAAGAAAAAAGAAGGAAAAAGCGGCAAATTTTCAAAAGGCGTATGCTTGGTGCACCTTGCTAGCACCTAGGCGAGGCACCTACCCTAAAATGCGCCTGAGGCACACCTTTTAAATCACTGCCCACACTTGTTAGCACACTCTTCCCTCTCTAGAATTAAAGGGTTAGCAGAATTGCAATCAAACACTGGAACAACATTACTCTCTATTACTCTCTTTTACCCCATTTTGTTCCTCCACTGATCTGAATGCTTCCTTTGCATACTCCTCCCCTCCTAGGAAAAGTAGTCTCAAAATTTTGCTGACTCCTACTTCCTTATTTACCACTTTCTCTAAATCACATGATTTCTCCACCTCATGTATCTCATCCATCAATGGTTCATCTTCATTAGCCTCCCCTAACTCTCATTCTCTACTTTCTCCCAAGGGGAAAGCTCTGTACTTCTTCCTTTTGTATGTTCTAACTCCATTTCCTGTCTTACTTCCTTCCTCTCTTCCCCCTCCCCCAGTCCCTAGATCTTCCTCCCCTCCTTTCTCCTCTATTAGATCTTTAATCATTTCTCCTTCACCCTTCCCCACTGACTCTTCCACATTTCCCAATTCCTTTGCTCCTATCACCCCAGTCACCTTGTCCTCTTGACTGCATCTCCCTTCTTCATCTCTATTTTCAATCCTTTTCGGTAAAACCTCAGTCGTCTCTCTACTACATCTTGTTGTGAAATAGAATATGAAATGAAGCAATAGAGAGAGCTTGCATGTTAGAAACCTCTTGTATGATGATTAAATCAGTCTTGGTATTATTTTAAGCATGTCTTCTATCAATGTTTGTTTACACAACTTATGATTAAGGTTGCAATTTTATGCATTTTAGTTATTAGATGGCCAATCATCGAAGGGTACATTCCTTAGAAAATTAGTTTAGAGCAACTTCCTTTTCAAATATAGTAGTAGTTATGCATCCCATTTAGGCAATGTAAACAATGCACGCCCAAAGCAACATCCTATTTCATTCTTTTTAATGACATCAAATAATTTTAGTTCTTAATTAGTCTCTACTTAGGATTAGGGGTAAGTTTACAACCTAACCTCCTCGATAGAAATGAGATGATTTAGCCCTAATAAGAATACTTGCTTACACAAGATATGAAGCCAAAAAAAAAGAATACTTACACAAGATAAGTATGCCTCACTACTTATGTGAAGGATACATCCTATCCTAGAAAAGATACGATATTCTTTTTCTTTGATAGATAAATATTCAATTGATTTCATTAGAAGCAAATGATAAATATTTCGTTACAAGCATCCCAATATGAGGCGCGAGGTGCAGCCTCTCATTAATACAGAAACATCATAAAGTTACAATTGGGCCCAGTTCAACTATTCCCTAGTTACCCCTAGTTACAATATTCTTTTGTATCATTGAAATTTCTTGTTAGTCATTCATCTTTTAGGGAGAATAGGAAATAAGTGTCATTTTTTTTTTCTGAAGTCTCAATTTATTTTTGTGAAGAAATTCACATTAAGGTCTAGTTTACAGTTCGACTATTGGGTTGTCACATGTTTATTGAGGTACCTCCATTTTTTAGGGGTGCAACTTGGGTGGGCTTGGGTTAAGGTTTTGATAAAATTTCAATGGGCCCAACCCAAAAGCCCGGACCTGATGCTGTGTAAAATCTTCAAATTAGGTATTGGACTTGCACCCTACCATTTTTTAGACCCTTTTCTTGAGTGTTACACCTCTGCTTGGCCTATGTCATACTTAGGGCTTCCTTTAGGGGCAAATCCTAGGGAGAGTAGATTAGCCTACCTTGGCAGAAAAGTTTGAGAAGAGATTAGCCTCATGGAAGAGGAATTATGTCTCTTTAGGAGGGAGAACTACCCTAATAAGAGCTACCTTGGCTAACTTACCTTCCTATTTTTTGTCTGTATTTAGGATACCGGTTAGGGAAGCTAGGAAATTGGAGAAGTTGATGAGAGATTTCTTATGGGAGCTGGGACAAGAAAAAAATAATCACTTGGTTAATTGGGAAACTGTGTGCAGAAGTAAAGAAGAGGGGGGTTTGGGACTTGGGAGGGTAACTGGAAAAAATCAAGCTCTGTTAGGGAAATGGTTGTGGCTATGGCCATTGGAAAGAGAGAGATTGTGGCATGAGGTGGTGTATCAAGGCAAGCTAACTTAGCAGCACCTTGGAAGGCCATTCACAACACCCTTCCGCAATTCCTCAATTTTATCAGGTATGAAGTTTGTTTTGGCAACACTGTTCATTTTTGGGAGGATATTTGAGTAGGAGACACACCTTTAAAGGATTTGTTCCCTTTGCTATTTTCTGTTTCTTTGTACAAAAAAGAGGTGGTCTCAAAATTTGTCTCACCTTTAGGAACACCTTTAGATCCTACTTGGGATTTCGGGTTTCGTAGAGGACTTAGGGATGATGAAATTGAATCTCTTTCTGTCTTGCTTGGTTGTCTTAATCAAGTTTGTTTGAATCCCTCCAAGCCAGATAAGAGGGTATGGATTCCTAGACCCAATGGAACCTTCACTTGTGCTTCTTTCTTCAAGTCCATCTCTCAACTTTCTACTCACCAACCCTTTTCGTCAAAAGAAATTTGGTGCAGGCCAGTTCCCCCAAAAATTATGGCGTTTTGTTGGGAAGTATTCCATGGGAAAGTAAACACTCTAGATAACCTACAAAAGAGAAGACCTTTCCTCTGTATTTCTCCTAATTGGTGTATCCTTTGTAGAGCTCATGGTGAGGATTGTTACCACCTATTAATATCTTGTTCCTTTTCTGTAGACCTTTGGGCTTGGCTACTTTCGTTGTTCGGGAGTAGTTGGAGTCTACCAGCAGAAGTTCACATGCTCTTCAACCATTCTACCTTTTATTGGCCTACAAAAATAGGGAGAATTATGTGGAGATGTRYTCGTGTTGCCTTGATTTGGACTCTTTGGGAAGAAAGGAATGCTAGAATTTTTCAAGAAAAGGAAAAGAGCAATAAGGAATTGAAAGACTGTGTGCTGAATAGGGCAATACGTTGGCTGAAGACCTTGGAAATCTTTCATCAATTCTCCTCTAATGACCTTTGGAGAAATTGGTCAGCAGTAGCAAGTCAATTACAAGCTGGTCTCCTCCATCTGAAGGCTCACTGAAGTTGAACTTTGACGGAAGTAGCATGGGTAATCCAGGATTATCCAGAAGGGGGGGGGGGTGCTTTGAGAAATG